AATTATATTATATTATATTATATTATATTATAAACAAGATTACCAGGACGGACATCATCATACACAATAAGATCAGCAACACGTATTAAAAACACAATTATATTATATTATATTATATATAATTTAAATTATATATAAGAACAGCAACATTATTCATTAAATTTATTAAATGGCTATAATTACTAAATATTATAGTAATGAAACATCTATTCTATTCTATTCTACATAATATAATGTAATAATATTAGATACAGAGAGAAACATCATCATGCACAATAAGTCCAGCAATGTGTATTAAAAACATTATTCGTTAAATTTCATGAATGGCTAGAACATTACTTGAAATCTCAAGTAATTCTCAAAGAAATAAGTGATAAGGTTGGGAAGGTTGGGTTGGCAGTGAAAGCACATGCCTTGGAAAATTCAACACATGCATGAAAACCAGGCGCTTTACACATCCTCTTACTCAATACCAAACTCATTTTGAGCAGCAGTGTTTACGTGCAGCTCGGGTCATAAACTGGGGTCGTTTTTAACAGCAGCAGATGAGTAGCTTCATCATATCGATCTCGGTAGTGATCACGCTTCCAGAGCACAGTCACATTTAGAGAGCTCACGACGGCCCGAGGGCAGGACGTTCAGGTCGAATGCGTGTACAGTATCTCTAAAGGACCCTCTCAGCGTAGCCACAAGCTGTTGGCTAAGTTTAGCACAGGGCACACGAGCGAGAGCATGTCTAATGGTAAAAAGATCCTCTATAACCACTAAATGTAACAGTGTACAAACTAATATAGTTCCAGCAAACATGCCAAAAGCATTATGTAAAGACTGCATAAATGTTATGAACATAAAACAATGTTAATGGAATGCCCTTATGATATTTACAGCTGATAAAAGTTCTCACAATGTTCAAACATTACAGTTTTATGTCTGATATGTTCTGAATGCTGTTAAAAGAACATCCTTCTAAATAAAGGAACTTGAAAATAAAGGATAATAAGAAGGAACTTATTATAAGGAACTATAAAGGAACTTTTTTCAAAGTTTCCAATCATTTTCTTCATGTTCAAATAATGTGGATAAAGCAGTATTTTGTAATTTCAATAACAAATTAACAATTTGAATGTTGACATCATTAGAGCATAATCTTCCAAAAAACAAAAACAAAAATAAATCCTAATTTTTATATTTTAGAATTAATAATGAAAAATAAATAAATAAATATATATATATATATATATATAAATGCAGATTTTTCTCTAAAGTATGTCACATTTTAGAAGTAAAATGGGGTAAATAATATAATTTCATGTTGACGTTAAGCTGTTAATACAAATGAAGTTGAGAATGTTTGCTGAGCTTTAATATTCCCACAAACAAACTGTAATGAAGAGCACTGACAGATGAGGGAAGACCTGGGCAGTCTGTAGTGCTCTTATATCAGAACAGAGAGGAACATGACAGCTTTACAAATCCTCATAAGCCCTGATGTGACTATAACTCTGTGATCTATCAAGCAGCGCGTCTAACCAAATGACCCACATACTGTATTTAATAAATATCATGCCTGGAATGCTATGAAACTTACAGAGGTTGTTAACAGTGTGTGCAAGCAAATGTTTCAAATCTTGCTATCTATGATAATAACATTTTATATAATATATATATATATATCTATAATGTTATATACAATGTTTTTTAATTATACAATTTTTATAGGGGTTTTTAGTGTGTGTGTGTGTTACCTGTTCACACAGTGTGGCAATCAGCCCCTCTAAGTCATGCTTCTCATGAACCACCATCTGTTTTTCCTCATATTCCTGTTCCAGTTGCATCTCCAGCTTAACTCTGTGATCTATCAAGCAGCGCGTCTAACCAAATGACCCACATACTGTATTTAATAAATATCATGCCTGGAATGCTATGAAACTTACAGAGGTTGTTAACAGTGTGTGCAAGCAAATGTTTCAAATCTTGCTATCTATGATAATAACATTTTATATAATATATATATATATATATCTATAATGTTATATACAATGTTTTTTAATTATACAATTTTTATAGGGGTTTTTAGTGTGTGTGTGTGTTACCTGTTCACACAGTGTGGCAATCAGCCCCTCTAAGTCATGCTTCTCATGAACCACCATCTGTTTTTCCTCATATTCCTGTTCCAGTTGCATCTCCAGCTGTCGGAGCTGCACACACACAAACACACACACACAGAGACAGACAGGAAAGGATGTTTGAGACAGGGTTGTAAGGTGGTCTGTCGAGCTGTAATTCATTCTGCATCCCTCACCCGTCTCTGTGAGGACTTTTGCACATCCTCCAGTTCCTCGTCCTTGTCCTCCAGCTCCTTCTGATGGATCTGCTTCATCCTCTCCATCTCCATCTCAAAGCGAAGGTGCATCTGTGCAGAACAGAGTTCAGATGGCCTGTTTGTGTTATTGCGTCTTTAAGACTTATGTAAATGTGGGCGGTCACATGTTAATGTGCTTATGGTTATTATGTCATAACCTTTTCAATAGGTCAAATGTTCTTGCATTACTGTACCTGCTCCAGCTGTTTGATTCTGGCAGTCATCTGGCTGATCTCGTCTGAGCGCTCCTTGTCTCTGGTCTCCAGCTCACGGAGCTTCTTCTTCAGTTCAGGGATGGAGTCGGAGGTGAGGTGGAGCGGGATGCTCAGGTCACGGATCTGAGCACACAGTTCCTCCTTCTGCTGCTGCAGGTGCGTGACCTCCACCTGACTCTCCTGAAACACACAAACATAATCATACACACATCATGTAAATGTAAATACACAAAAACATCAATTGCATAATATGCAGGAGCAAAAACACATACAAGACAAACACACACACAAAATCATACAAACAAATAAAATACAAACAACATCAACACAAATAACACACATAAACATGCATGCTTATACACACATATACATACACAAACAATTATACAAACAAGCTTATCATAAACAAAAACTCAAAAGCAAACATACACATAAAAATGGCACAAACAAACACAATAATGCACACATCATACAAACAAGCACAAATGCAAAAACACGCATAACAATAATAAACAAACTTAAAAGCAAATACACACAAAAAATGCAAACAAATCATATGAATAGGCCTATTCAAACATAAAAATACAAAGAATGGAAGAAACACACAAACATGTGCGTAAAAAAAACAAACACATACAGATAGTCACAAACACAAAAATACAAACCATGACAAATAAACACACACACAAACACGCTCGCATATATGCATGCAAACGTACACAAAAAATATACAAACAATCACAATGCAAAAACACACAAAACAATAAACTTGAAAGCAAATACACACAACAATGCACAAAAAAACAATCACAGACACATAAACACACACACAGTAATCACCACACCAAGTCACAAACACATAAAAATACACACAACAACAAAAAATAAACACACACATAATGCATAAAAACACAAATTCACATACACACACAAACACAATTATGCAAACAAGCGCAAATGCATAAACACACAAAACAATCAAACATACACACACACACACACACACAAAAGCAAACACACACAAAATATATTGCACAAACACACAATGCACAAAAACAAACAATTACAATCACAAACACACACCACCAAAAACCACACAGTCATTCAAACAGAAAAAACACATTATATTCAAATACAAGAATGCATAATGTAGATATAAATGTGTGCATGTGTATTTCCCATGTACTGACCACTGACATCTATCAAAGCAGTATAAACTTGACACATTCATTTATTTTCCTATAATGACACTGTGAAGTTATATAATCTGATGAACTCAAAGCAGAACTTTTCTCCTCTGCATATTTGGGATCTCTGGGGACTCGTTCAGTTTACCGACAGAGGACACCCGGAGTTCACGGGCACGATCACAGATGGTGGACACTTGACCTTTGACCTCGGCCCGTACCTTGAGCGTCTTGCGAAGGGTGAAGATCTCTGCACCGAGGGCGGTATTCTCCTGGATGGCTCTCTCCGTCTGCTCCCTCTCATTATCAGCCTGTTCCAGTGCCTGGGTCAGTTCGCTGTCAAACCTACACACACACGCACGCACAAGCACACACACACACACACACACACACACACACACACGCATGCACACGCACACACACACACCAGACAGAGGGCTTGAGAATGCATATTCAAGCAACCAGTGAGCCTGGCACTGAATATTAATGAATTATGTGTAAATGAGACAGACCTCCTCTGTTTCCTGTCCAGCTCGTGAGCGCGGCCCTGCAGGCTGTCTGTCAGCACGCGGGCATCCTGAAGGTCGGAGGTCAACCGCCGGCAGTGGCGTTTTAGCTCTGTCACTGAGCGTTTGGATTGATCAAACTGAGACTGCAGTTCCTGGACCTGCCACACGGGGGAGATCAAGAGACAAAGATCATCAGGAAGGGACCATGTGCCGCCCACTGGACATGACAGGGTTATTCAGTCCAGTGCACATGACAAACATTTCATCTGTAGTATTTTATATCTGAGCTCTTAATATATTCAGTATGTCATTCTCTGCAGAACAAATCAAACAGGATTGATCATATATAGACTTGGTCAGTGTTAAATAATTGGCATACACTAGGGCTAGTCATCAGAAGCACTATACGCTTTTGAGTCCAGTTTCATAAATGCTTGTGTTCTCTTAATAGTAGCTTAGCCTTCAATTAGAATAATTTTAGTGAATTAATAATAAAAAATAATGCTGTATTTCGAAAAATAAATCAAATCTATTTATTTCAATATCATATTTTATTATTTTAAACACACACACACACACACACACATACACATCTCTTTTATGCTTTTTTATCTATACAATAAACATTAATTACATTTTATTATTTTGTATTTTACATTTTTGTTGCTTCAGGAACTGTAATTTTATCATTTCATAATTGTATATTTGATTTAAAAGCCTTTATATTCTATAATGCACATTAAATTACTGATGCTCTGAAGACAGCTTTTTAACTGTAGATAATTAATAATAAAAAAAAGTATATTCTTTTGAAATGAATGTCAATAAACAAATTGTACCTTATATTGTGTGACAACATTCCCCACTACATGTTAAATGAGCAGTATCTTTTTCCTGAGCAATAATGAAAGAAATATAGATTTGTGTGTGTGTGGTGAAGATTTCTATTCGTTTTGTATTGTATACAAAATCTGACTTTAGTGTTATTTTAGTAATATTTAAATATTACAATATTAATAATAATTTGAACTAGCTTTCATTTTTTATTTTCTGTTTTCATTTAAATTTTAGTCTAAGTTTTAGTAATTTTGTTGTGCTTTTGTCATTTTTATATATATATATATATATATATATATATATATATTTATTTCAGGTTCAAGCAAAAGCTTGTTAAGACTTTCAGCCTCAGAGTGAAAAAATATATACGTATTTCTTTTTCACATTTTTTCTAAATCATGTACACTGAGGCAGGGCTTCCATTTAAAACAACAGATGCATTGTTCCAACACCAACTAGTTAAAAGTCATTGCAAAAAAAGTGCAACATTTCTTTACACTAGCCATTAACTTTATATTCTGTATATAATGTAATACCTCTCATGAACATGTAAGTGTTCAGCTACTTCTTGAGGTGACTGTACTTGTATGTCTAGTAGGTTAGAGAAGGGGAAGAAGTGACTGATGGCTCAAGCTTTCACTGGGAGACTCTTCCTCAGACAGCTCTGATTCTGCTTCTACTGATGGACTGAAGTGACTAATACATGAGGTGCATTATTCATCACACCCACCACAACCTTTCTCAGAGAGACCTGGGCTGCCACAGCCATCAGAGGTGCTGCCGCAGGGAGGGATGCAGGGAGGGATGGAGGGGGCTGGGAAAGTGACAACATCATGTTGGTCCACGGATA